TAGTTTTCGGCCTTTGTTTTCACCGTGATGGTTGCCAGGCAGTGAAAGTGCTTGGATGTCCGCTCAAGAATACCGTAGAACTGTTCTTACAAACTGTCAGAAATGTACTTATAAATAATGTAACTGTTTTTTTTTGTCGTCAAACATTTATTATCACCACAAATAGACAATATTTGAATATTCAGATTTCACCAAGATTAAATTATTCAAAGAGTGACAAATATGCCATCTGCGAACACACCTGCAAAAACAAAGTGTTGCGCAGACTAAATTACGTGTATAAAAACGTCCCACGGCTTCTATATCGGTAAATTATGATCTGTTGCATGATTCTTAACCGAGACGAGTCAGTCCATTTGACCAAGATCAAAAAATCACACAGGTACTAAATTGTCACAATTCAGAATTGCTAGTAGAGCATTTATATTATGGGTTCTGGAAAAAATCAATATGGTTATCTTGCGCATATTTGCACACTGCCCCTTAATGGAATTTGTGAGGTTAAAATTTTGTGAAATTTATTATTTATTATTATTTAGTTTACAGTAATTCGCAGCCACATTACTTTATTAGGAATCCACATCATCTAATTAGGAATACAGATCGCTAATTAGGAATGCACATCACCTTATGAGGAATGCACATCATCTAATTATAAATCCACATCACCTTATTAGGAATGCACATAATCTAATTAGGAATCCACATTTTTTTAACCTGAACTCTTTTTCATGTAACACTTGTAAAAATTCTTCAAAATTGGCTAAGAAATAAATCAAACAAACTGAGCATTCGATACAATGAGTATACATTTATTTAAACAATGATTGCCAGGGGATTAGTATTCAATAGAAAGGTATTAGGGTGAACTTGCATGTAAAATAGGATTTAGATTTAAAAAGTTTTTGGGAATATTTTTGGTATGGTTAAAGTATTTTTGAAAATACATTGTAAATTCCAACTAAGAACAATAATCAATTTTGCAAAAATCACAAAATTTACATGCTTTGTTTTTCATGAAAATTATTTTTTTTAAATTTTGACAGAAAAAAACAAAACAAAAAAACATGAAATTCTTGACTACAGTCAGTGTAGGATAAGAATTGTAAAAGATATACTCACCCGCCTGCAAACTGTTTTATTGCACCATGGTATGGTTCTTTTATTTCATCCACATTTATTAAAATCTCAATTAAAGATCTCATACCTAAAGTAGGAGACTAAAAAATATAAGAATATTATTAATATACTTATTATAAGCAACACTATATACTGTAGAATATTTTATTTTAGCTGGAATTAATCATTTTTGCTGAAAAGACATTTTGGGTATTTTGTATGGAATTTATTTTCACTGATTTTGACAAGTTGAATGTAAACTATAGGAAAAAAGTTATATTCGCTGGATCTTATTTTCACTGAATCATTCCTTCAGCAAAAATAGCAAAAATTAATTCCAAGTGAAAATAAAGTATTCTACAGTATTTAATAATAATAATGATACTAAGATGTAATCTTACCAACCAAGATATAGCAAAGTAAACAAGTAAACAAGCAAACAAACAAACAAACAAAGAAACAAAAAGTTGTACTATGAGACCCCTTCTAAAAACATAAAATTTCTGGTGATTGTGTTGGCAAATCATAGATAAGGATAAAAAAAAAATTATCCTCTGATTTTTTTCATTGAGCATTTATTTTTACAATATTTTGGCCAGTAGTCAGTTAAAATCATTTTTTATTAATATTTTAATGTAAAATACTTTATTTTTGCTTGGAATTATTTTTCGCTATTTTCACTGAAAGGATGATTGAGGGAAAAAAATCCAGCAATATATACC